CAGCTTATGTGATTTATGGGCAAAGTTATTCTTTTCAAACTTCCCCTGCTTCAGCACAGGTAGTGGAACTTCGTGCTGTAGCTGCAGTGTTCCAGCTTCTGACCTCAACACCCTTCAATCTCTATACAGATAGTCATTATGTAGCTCGAGCTCTACAGGAAATTGAAACAGTACCTTTTATTGAAACTAGAAATGTTCAAATTTGTTTGCTGTTAAGACAAGTGCAAAATAGTATTAAATCTAGAAAATATCCTTGCTATATAGGACATCTCAGAGCCCATAGTGGTCTTCCTGGGCCACTAGCTTTGGGGACTGCGTTGGCGGATAAAGCCACTCAGCTTATAGGATTGACTCAGGTAGAGCAAGCTACAAATTCTCATGCCATTCATCACCAAAATAGCCAAAGTTTGAGAAAACAATTTCATATTACTAGGGAAGCTGCAAGACAAATTGTGCGACAATGCTCATCTTGTCCTCAAACACAAATTGTTCCTCATTATGGGGTTAATCCTAGAGGGCTGAAGCCTAACCAACTGTGGCAAATGGACATTACTCATGTTCCAGATTTTGGCAGGCAAAGGTATGTACATGTTATAATAGATACATTTTCTGGCTTTTTTATGGCTACTGCACAAACAGGGGAAGCCACAAAAAATGTTATAACTCATTGCTTGACTTGCTTTTCCATAGCTGGTATCCCTAACGTTATAAAAACAGATAATGGCTCTGGCTATACCAGCCAGGGGTTCCAATGTTTCTGTTTGCAATTGGGCATTGAGATAGAACTGGAATACCGTATAACCCACAAGGACAAGGTATAGTGGAAAGAGCTCATGGTGCTTTAAAAACACAATTACAAAAAATAAGAAAAGGGGAGTTATATCCCCAGACACCAAGTAATCTTTTACATCATGCTCTTTTCATTTTAAACGTTTTGAATGTGGATAAAAATGACTGCTCTGCAGCAGACAGAATGTGGCATCCTCAGTCACAGGATACCTACGCCCAAGTCAGGTGGAAGGATCCTTTAACTGGA